ATAGACAAATATGTGATTAATTGAACTCATTTGCAAAACACTTCCTTCTAGGCCCTCTAGAATACTACCTGTATTTCAATGTATTTGAGAACCTGGATTTTCTGGTATTTGTATTAATGTCTTATTGTACATTCATACCTCTGTGCATATGTAATTTACAGAAATGTCTTGGGAGTCTTTTGCAGAAATTAGACATTAGGTCTAAATATTGATATGAGCATTATAAAATGGCACTCCTACTGCATCTCATTACTATGGATATACTTTCGATGTTTTATTGTGCTCATCCCAAGCAAATAAAAAACATATTCTGTATCAAATAATCTATTCCATACAATTTCAGTCGTTTCTAATGATGTTTACAGCAGATAACTGTGTTGTGTCAGGAAGGAATTAAGTTATTTTATGTGGAGTTATCAAGTCAGACAAACTTTCTGATCTGACATTCTAAATTAGACTGTATTTCATTTGTGTGGATTGTCACATCTTATCCTCAAAGAGGTTAAACAAAAAGCTGAAAACTTCTGTGATCCCAGTTAATCATTCTCAACATGCCTCATATATTATATATTGAACAAGCAGATATATTTTTCAGAACAGAGAATGACCTACAATGAATAGCTAAAAGCAAGCTTCTTCACAACTATTTTGATAGATGGTTGTTCTGGGCAGGTGACATTATTCAAAACTATACTGCAAGCCAAGAATCACACTGAGATCCTACACTTGTTTTAGGTGTTTGAAGAAAGAAATATCTCATTTCTTATTCATATAGCCAGAGATACAGCAAGTAAGTGACACCAAAATGAAGTGCACAGGCACTTAGACTGAGTAAACTGCTTTAAAGCAGATAAATTCCTGAATTAGGGTCTTAAACAATTTTCAGTTATAAAATTAAGGGGACAGTACATAATATAAATTTAGAAAGCTGTATTTTGAATGGCTAGTTTTCTTCAAAATCAGATATCTGATAGAGAAAAAAAAAAAAGCATCTTTTTGCAAAGAAATCTATGCAGTACCAGTGATTATACATACGTTTAGAATCTTTTTCAAATACTTACATAATTACCTACTTCTTAACTTCAGAATAGAAAATTCAGGAAATTTCCATCTGCATAAATATTAGACATGTTATTTATGTTCATATCACTGTTTATTAACATAGAGCCACTCTTAGATTCGATAACTCACTGCATTAACAGTCTAGCACCATCAGTTCAGGTGTTATATCCTGTTACAATCTGCAAGGAATGTTAAAATGTGTTATATAATATTTTAATGGCTATTTCACTTTGTATGGTGTAAAAAAACAGCTCTGTTGTGCTTTTATGTCTGTTCTTTCTTCTGAGTTCTCTGAAGGCATAGTAAAGAAGAGTGATTTTGTTTTCATACCAGGAGCTGCAGAGTTAAAACTTCATCCAGTGATAACATACTTTTTGATGGGACAGGGGCAGAAACATTGCAGGATGTAAGCAAGATTGTATGAATTGGTATTTGTAGCTGAGAAACTAAAAGGTTCAACTAAAAGGTTCAAATGTACAAAATGTGGTGATGCTATCTAATAAGTGGCCTGAAGCAGGAGTGGATGTGCACAGAACCATCTATTTTGAGCTGAACAGGAATAACTTTGTACCAAATAGAGTATTTACATAGGTAAAAGTTCCACTGACTGCAAAGGAATTAATTTGGACATAAGGTCTGATTTGTAGTAATTATTCCAAGTTGTACCTATTGCTTTGAAGCTACATTTAATTACAAACTCAAGTTTGGAGAATTCAAAACTCTAAATAATGGATTACCAGAACAAACCTGGTGAACATCTGCATGATACAAAATGGAAGTACAACTTCTGGGCTGGACTTTCAAGTATGAGATGGGTAGAAGGGCTTTCCACAGGCAAATTAAGTAAAAACCTCCTAGGAACAAGTACTAAATATTCTGTCCCTACACTGGAACTCTATCATGACAAGAAGTTGATATTGAGATCATGCTGAATTTAATGTGAATTAGACAGAGCATTGTGCAAAAAACAAAGAAAGGAACTGTAAATCCTGAAGGAGTTTTTTTGTTTTAGTTTGAGGGGGTTTTGTGTTGTTTTGTTTTTCTTTTGTTTTTTTTTGTTTGTTTGCTTTGGTTTTTCTTTTGGGGGGGTGTGGTTTGATTTGTTTTTTTTTGTGGGGTGTTTTGTTGTTTTTTTTTCCTCAATAAAAGCTTGTTTTAAAGCTGGGATCACCACTTTCATTGTCAACTCCTGTGTTCAACAATTAATTTGTGGAAAATCCATTCAGATCTTAGTTTAGATTCTTTTAGGCCAACTTTGTCATAACTGCAAAATACAGTGGCAGTACTCACTCAAGAACACACTTTCATTAAGCAGGCACCCCATTATTGCAATAATGTTGCCTTTGAAATGCCTTCTCACAGAAATTATTGGATTCATGACACTAGGAGGAATCCTGGAGCTTGTCCAAATGCACTTACCTTCTCAACACCTTCCTCCTTCAGTCCTCTTTTAAGCTGTGGCACTACTACCCTGCATGTCCTTACTTTAAAGCCAGTTTATTTAGAGGCCAGCAAAGCAGGCACCACGCTAGTTAGTAACCCAGTACCTTCAACATATGGATCTGTTTCTGAGGTGGGAATGCCAGCTTCAAATGTCCATAGAGATACTAGGACATCACAGGCGAATTCAAGTCCGTTTGCTGATAAGAGTAATTCAGCACCCAAGAAACTCTTGCTCATAATGTGGAACCAGTCATACTTCTGGTCCTCTGAAAAGTGACCACAATTTGTTTATTTATTTATTTATTTTGGCTTAAGAGTCAGAAGATTATTACACAAATCTGCATTTTTTTGCACAGTTCTGAAAAGATAGTATGGAGCAATTTCTTTGTGAGGTTTCTTATACTCTAGTAGAGGACAAAATTAGGTCTCTCCCTTCTCTTCTCTTCTCTTCCACTGAAGCATTCTGCAATTTCCCAACTCAGGAAGACTTGGGAAGGAAGGTGTCATCTCTCTTTGGAAAATTCAGGTTATCTTTCCTCTGCACCATTAGACATACACATAGTATAATTCTGTACATTAAGCATGGCGGAGTACCAACCTTGGTCAGCAGCCAAGCCACTCACATAGCCATTTGCTCACTCTCCCTACCCAGGGGGATAAGGGGTAAAAAAAAATAAAACAGGAAAAAAAAAAACAAAAACGCAAGAAAACTCATGGTTCAAGATAAAGGCAGTTTAAAAGGTAGAGGAAAGAGGAAAAAGAAGCAACAAAATCACCATCTCCCACAGGCAGACAGATGCCCAGCCATTCTTTGAACACTGCCCACCTTTGCCCACTGCCCACTTCCACCCAACCTGCCTTTTTCACCTCTGTTTTTTTGGCATTATATGGCATGGAATATCCCTTTACCCAGTTTGGGTCAACTGTCTCAGCTGTGTGCCCTCCCTGTGTCTTGCCCACCCCTATTACTGTGGGAACAAAGTGTGAAAAAGAGAAAGCCCTGATGATGTGCAAGCACAGTTCACAAACTGCCAAAACATCAGTGCGTTATTAACAGAGATTTAGGCACAAATCCAATACACAGAACTATATGGGCTCCTATGAAGAAATTTCACACCATCCCAGACATAAACAGGACAAGGATGTAGTTTCATATTATGACCACATCTGATGAGTCTGACTATACCAGAAGACTGTATCTTATGTTCTCCTCTTCCGCTTCCCTAAGCCTAATGACATTTATTCCCAGCCTCGTCTTCATATCAAATCTTCTGGCTGTATAAAGCTGATTAGAGTGTGTAAATAAATGTGTAGGTGAGTGAATACATAATTGGGCTCTTTTACTTCAGGTTGGTTAGATGACCTGCATGTGAGACACAGGCAAACGTAAGATCAACTCTTTCATTGGAAAGCTGTACTGGACAGAGCGTAATGCAAACCTTCATGTTGCCCTTTTTGAGTTGGCTGCCAGAGTATATGGCTGAAAAGAGGTTAGGTCTCTTTAGGAAGGATGCGGGGAGTAAGGGAATAAGCTGAGGAAAAATCCTCAAATAGTGAGAACCAGAAGGCAGTTAAAAACTAAAAGATAAAACTAAGTGATGAAAACTATTTTATTCTTAGGAAATTGCTACAAGGCAGTGATTTGCAGGTTCTAAAGAACCTCTTTTCAGTGGTGCACAGAACTGTGTTTCAACTGAAAGGGTACCTGTTTTCTTTACCATTGTATTTCATAAAATAATGATTTGGCTAATTCAAATGCTTTGTTAGGAATTCAGAAAATTACTATCTTTGTTGCCTTTAATAATGTATTAAAATTTTTCTCACAGTAACTAATGTTGAGAAAAAATATACAGATTGACTTTTTTTCCTTATACAGGGAAAACAAAGAAACAAATAGGTCATAGTGCAGAAAGCAGAAGGAGTAGGAAGATTAAAGAAGATTGCCAAGTAGAAATAATAAAAAGCTGCATACTGGTCTACAGAAAAAACAGAGTGGGAGAGATGGTTAATCTAGGAGGGCTGCTGTGAGAATAAAGAGAACAGCACAGTGAGATGACTGCTGCCTTTCACTGCAGTCCCGAGCTTCTTATGGAATGATTTAACTTAAAGAGCAGTGGTGTGATGTCTGTTCTGTTGCCTGAATATACCAGTATGGTCCAGGAGCTACCACAGCTTTTAGTATATGACAGTGGAGCTTCTAAATGCATGATGACTCCCAAGTGCAGCAAATTTTTCACCATTTTTGTTCTTGACCTTGCAAATTTGGAATGCTTTTGTAGCAGCCAGGTTTTTTTTTTTCACTACAAAATATGCCATTTGACAGAGAAATAATGAATTCTGTCAAGCAAGTTGAAATTGTCTGTTGTAGCCACGTGCATGTAAGCAAACCAGTTCAATATTTCTTGTGTTAGGCACTGCAAACTAATTCTCACCAGAACTAGAAATTGATGTTTGGCTTTTGTAGCCTTTATGATTATGGTTTGGGTTTTTTTTTTTTGAGGGTGAGTTTGTTTTCAACCTATTTATTTTTCTGTCCACCTATTTTCATCTCTACGGCATGCCTTCTCACTTTGTTCATTATTTTGTTAACTGAATTTTCCTTCTACAATGCCTTTGATGCCAACATGCACAGAATATGCTTTATCAGATTGATAACGTGAAGAGGAGAACTAAGAACTAATATGGGTTGGTTTTAAGGTAGTGTTATTCTTGCTCCTGTTTGTTATTGGTTTTGATCTTTTTTAAGAATATTAAGAAACAATAAATCTAATGATAGTCCTTTCAATAACTGCAGGACATTTGATAAAATCTAGCACTCTTCATCACAGAGGGATATCTGGTCACTTTTAAACTGAGCACTGACAATGCTTGCTATCAGATTAAACACAATATATTGTGAGTTTTCACTAGAATTTTGCATTGTGTATCACACAGCTACAATTTCTCTTCTATAAATATAACAGAAGCTTGAGGATAGTTCCTAGGAAAGGCAAAGGCATTCTGGTGATGTAAACACCAATGAAATTTGAGTTTTCTTTCCAAGAGGGAGATGACAGTAGCATACTACTGACAATATTGGGTTACTTGGCTGCTGCTGCCCGTTGGCAGCGGAATGGTGGCGCAGGGCGGAGGTGTGGAGGACTCCTTCAGTGTCCTGGACCTAGCGGAGTACACCAAGAACCAGCCTTGGTGGCACAAGGTCTTCACCCGCAGCTCAGGGTCGAGCACTGACAAGTACAACGTGGCCACGCAGCTGCTGATCAGAGGGGTCACAGATTGGTGTACTGGATTTGTCTTCCAGAAAGTTGGAAAGCTGGCAGCAACAGTGGTGGGAGGTGGCTTTTTCCTACTTCAGACTGCAGATCACACAGGATACATCAAAGTGGACTGGAAGCTGGTAGAATGGGACATAAAGCCAAGCAGCAACTGAAATTTCACAGCAGTGGTAATAAAATGTCTCCAGAAGTGAAAAGCAGAGTAGATGAGGTGATCATATTTCTGAAGAAGCATGTTACCGTGACTGGAGGGTTTGCTGGAGGATTCCAGCTCGGAATGGCATCCTAGAAACTATGTTTGACTCTCCATGCCCAGCCTTCCCTGCCCTCCTCTACTGTGGTTTTCTCTCACTTAGAAGTCAAAGGATATTGCAAATATGCTCAGTCTGTTCTGTTAAAAAAAACGTTTTTTGAATTGCTGAGGTGAGTAGCTCGAGAGACAGCGGAGCAGGAGGAAGCTCAGCGTCCAAGAGCCTCAACTCAGAGCGACAAGAGCCACCGAGGGAGCCTCAAGTCCTCGACAGGACCTGCCCAGGAGCCGGCAGCTCAGCTGACGAGAGCGAGCAGCTGACTCACAGGGGGCGGAGCCTGAAGCAGCGGCACCGGCCCTGAGTGGTTAAAAACCTGCCCTAGGGAGCGAGAGACCAGGAGTGCGGCGAGGCAGGTTAGCAGGCAGGTGAGCACTCGCCGTATGATCAGGGCCCGATCCGGCAGCTCTGCTCTGGCTGCCGCGGCGGTGGCCAGCGTAGGCACCCAGACAGAGCCGATGAGAGGGGAGGCTGCAGTGCAGAGCTCGGGGTGTAGAGACTACAATGGGCAGGGCTGCGCTCCCTGGTGCTCCCTGGTGGAGGTCCTCCTGCAGCACGGGCTGAGCTGCGGGGCGCTGTCAACAGGCGAAAAGCTGTCGGGGGAGCTGAGGGGCAGCAGTACAGCCTGCTCCGGGCCCAAACTTATGCAGGGGCCTCAAGCATCCATTGTAGCTCACGGAGGAAAGAAGGAGGCAGTTAACCCAGGAAGCTGGGAAGTAGTAACAAAGAAAAAAAAAAAAAAAAAAAGAGGAAGAGGACAATTAAAAGCAAAGGGCTTCCTCCTAAATGTGATGCCCTCAGCCAGAACCCCTTTGCTAATGAGGAAACACACTCACAGCATGAACAACCGGGTGATGCGCCAGTAAAGAAGACCACTACTGGTGCTGCCAGGAAAAAGTGGTGGGTCATAGTAGTAGGGGACTCTTACTTTGAAAGGCACAGAGGCACCCATCTGTCAGCCTGACCCAGTCTCAAGGGAGGTGTGTTTCCTACCAGGGGTTCGGATCAGGGATGTTGCAGAGAGGCTGCCTGCTCTAGTAAGTCCCACTGACTGTTACCCACTTCTTGTGGTCCATGTATGTGCTAGTGATACAGATCACAGTAGCCCGGAGAACATTAAGGAGGACTGCAGAGCCCTAGGAGGGGGGGTTAGGGGCTCTGGAGCTCAGGTTGTGTTTTCGTCAATTCTCCAGGATAAAGAGGAGGACCTTAAAAAGGCTAGGTGGATTTGACAGGTTAATATATAATTAGAACAGTTGTGCCATAGTTTGGTTATTTAAAACATGGGACTCTTTGGGAGGCCAGGTCTATTGGAGGCTGGTAGAGCTTGTGAGCACTTCTGGTAGGAGGCTTGCCAGACTGGTCAAGAAAGCTTTAAACTAGATGTGTTGGGGGAGGAGGGCATCATTCCATCCCAACATGGCCAAAGAGTTGCCAGCACCTATAATAAATACTCGAAGCAATGTAGATATATTCCAGCTGCTCCAGCCAATGAGCCGGCTTCAGTTGGACAGATGCCTCTATACAAACGCCCATAGTAAGGGGAACAAACAGGAGAAATTAGATATCTGTGCATGTCTATGGGGGTATGATATAATAGGCATCGTAGAAACACAGTGGGATGGCTCCTGTGACTGGAGTGTTGGAATGGAAGGTTACAGGCTTTTCAGAAAAGACAAGCCCGGCAGACAGGGAGAGGGAGTTGCTATTTATATTAGAAGTAGATTGGAGAGTATGGAACTCCGTCTGGGGACAGGTGAGCAGTCGACAGAGAGTTTGTGGGTCAGGGTTAAAGGGAGAACAGCGATAGGAGACATTACTATGGGGATCTGTTACAGACGGCCTGATCAAGAGGACTCTGTGGATGAAACATACTATAGGCAGATAGGAATAGCCTCATGCTCGCAGGCCCTTGTTATCATGGTGTCCTGGGTTCCGCAGTAGCAGTCATGTTTTTCCTTTATGTTAACTGGTGCAGTGCTGTGTTTTGACTTCCAGCTTGAGAACAGTGTTGGTGAAGCCGATGTTTTCGGTTGTTGCTAAGTGATGTTTACCCTGACCAAGGACTCTGTGAGGCTCATGCTCTGCCAGGGAGGAGGGGAAGCTGTGAGGAAGCAGAGATGGGGCGCCTGACCCGGGCTAGCCGGGGAGGTATTCCATACCACAGCACGTCATGCCCGGGGTGAGGGGTAACTGGGAGTTACCCAGAAGGACAGGGGCTTCCGGGTGGAACTCGTTTTCTTGGCCGGTGGTATCGTATTCTCTTCCCTTGTTATTTTCCCTTATCATTGTTTTAGCTGATAGTAGCGGTGGTGATTTGTTGCTGGACTGTTTTTGTCTCAACCCGTAGGAGTTGCACTCTCTCGATCCTCCTCCCCGTTCCTCCAGGAGCGGGGAAGGGGAGAGCCCCGGTGTGGGGAGACGGGGGGGGAGACGGACACGGACCTCGATTGTTGTCAGCTCGGCACCACTCACTGGGAGTGAGTGAACAAGCTACCTGACTGGGTTTAAACCACGACACATGGGGGACTTCAACCACCCTCATATCTGTTGGAGGGACGATAAGGGCCGGCACAAGAAATCCAGGAGGTTCCTTGATTGTGTGGAAGACCATTTTCTTCTTCAAGTAATAGAGGAGCCGACAAGGAGAGGAGAGGTGCCATGCTTGACCTTGTGCTCACCAACAGAGAAGGGCTGGTTGGAAATGTGACGCTCCAGGGCAGCCTTGGTTGTGGCGATCATGAGATGGTCAAGTTCGAGAACCTCAGGACAGTGAAAAGAATGTGCAGCAAGCTCACTGCCCTGGACCTCAAAAGAGCAGACTTTGGCCTCTTCAGCAACCTTTTTAGTAAGGTTCCATGGGATATATCCCTAGAGGGCAGGGGGCCCCAAGACTGTTAGTTGATATTCAAGGATCACCTACTACAAGTTGAGGAGTGTTGCATCCCAACCAGAAGGAAGCGCAGCAGGAGGGCCAGGAGACCTCCTTGGATGGATAAGGAGCTGCTGAGGAAACTACAAAGGGAAAAAAGAGGCTTGTAAAAGGTGGAGGCAAGGACAGGTGGCCTGGGAAGGATACACGGATGGTGTTTGGGAAGCTAGGGACCAGGCTAAGAAAGCTAAGGCCCAGTTAGAATTAAACTTGGCTAGAGATGTTAAAGATAAACGTAAGAGATTCTATGGGTACATTGCAAATAAAAAACAGACTAGGGACGACGTGGGCTCCCTCAGGAAGCTGTCAGGAGAGCTGGCTGCCCTGAGTTTGGAGAAGGCTGAGGTTCTTCATGACTTCTTTGCCTCAGTCTTCACTGGCAAATGCTCTGACCACACCACCCAAGTCTTGGAAGGCAGATGCAGGGACTGTGGGAATGAAGACCTTGGGCCCATTGTAGGAGAGGATCTGGTTTGAGACCATCTTAAGAACCTGAAAATGCACAAGTCCATGGGACCTGATGAAATCCATCTGCGGCTCCTGAAGGAGCTGGTGAACGAAGTTGCTAAGCCACTCTCCATCATATTTGAAAAATCATGGCAGTCTGGTGAAGTTCCCAATGACTGGAAAAAAGGGAAATATAACCCCCATTTTCAAGAAGGAATGGATGACCCAGGGAATTACAGACCAGTCAGTCTCACCTCTGTGCCTGACAAAATCCTGGAGCAGATTCTCCTGGAAGGCATGCTAAGGCACATGAAAATCAACAAGGTGCTTGGTGACAGCCAGCATGGCTTCACTAAGGGGAAATCCTGCCTGACCAATTTGGTGGCCTTCTATGATGGGGCTATGGAACTGATGGACAGGGTTAGAGCAGTTGATGTCATCTACCTGGACTTGTGCAAAGCGTTCGACACTGTCCCACATGACATCCTTGTCTCTAAATTGGAGAGACATCAATTTGATAGGCGGACCACTTGGTGGATAAAGAACTGGTTGGATGGCTGCATGCAAAGAGTTGTGGTCAATGGCTCAATGTCCATCTGGAGACCAGTAACAAGTGGTGTCCCTCAGGGATCGGTGTTGGGACGAGTCTTGTTCAACACCTTTGTTGGTGATGTGGACAGTGGGATTGAGTGCTCCCTCAGCAGGTTTTCTGATGACACCAAGCTGTGTGGTTCGGTTGATACGCTGGAGGGAATGGATGCCATCCAGGGGGACCTCGACACGCTTGTGAGGTGGGCTGATGCTAACCTCATGAAGTTTAACCATGCCAAGTGCAAGGTCCTGCACCTGGGTTGCAGCAATCCCAGGCACAGCTACAGGTTGGGAGAGAAGAGATTCAGAGCAGCCCTGCGGAGAAGAACTTCGGGTCGATGAGAAGGTGAACATGAGCTAGCAGTGTGCGCTCACTGCCCAGAAATCCAACTGTAACCTGGGCTGCATCAAAAGGAGTATGACCAGCAGGTCGAAGGAGGTGATCCTGCCCCTCTACTCTGCTCTCCTGAGACTTCATTTGGAGTATTGTGTGCAGTTCTGGTATCCGCAACATAAAAGGGACATGAAACTGTTGGAATAGGTCCTGAGGAGGGCCACAAGGATGATCAGGGGACTGGAGCACCTCCCGTATGAAGACAGGCTGAGAAATTTGGGGCTGTTCAGCCTGGAGAAGAGAAGGCTGCGTGGAGACCTCATAGCAGCCTTCCAGTATCTGAAGGGGGCCTCTAAGGATGCTGGGGATGGACTCTTCATTAGGGACTGTAGTGATAGGACAAGGGGTAACAGATTAAAACTTAAACAGGGAAGTTTAGATTGGATATAAGGAGGAAATTCTTTCCTGTTAGGGTGGTGAGGCACTAGAATGGGTTGCCCAGGGAAGTTGTGAATGCTCCATCCCTGGGGGTGTTCAAGGCCAGGTTGAACAGAGTCTTGGGTGACATGGTTTAGTGTGAGGTGTCCCTGCCCATGGCAGGGGGGTTGGAACTAGATGATCTTAAGGTCCTTTCCAACCCTAACTATTGTGTGATTGTATAATTCTATATCTGTGTGAATGTAATTAAGACTGTCATTAACTGCATTAACAATATGAAGCTTCAGTGCTTCTATTATCAAACCTCCTAAGCCACATCCATATATTCAGTTTTAATTAC